GTGGTGTGCAAAGCCGCTGTGGACTCCTTGAATTGTTGGTTTCTGGTTTAGCTTCAAGGAGCGCAAGACCCTTGACTGCGACAAAATTGAAGGCTATGCAGTGTGTTGAGGTGGGTGAGAAATATTCGACGGTCGCGGACGACTTCGGGATACCATGGAGCACTCTGAGTACCTTAGAACAAAGCAGATATCAAGGCAAAGGCGGCGGAGCAGTGAGCGTCAAGAGCCTGTCATGTGCACGGGAATGTAGGAAAGGCACTCTATGCCAGGTTTTTAGAAGTGCGCGCGAAGAACATTACAGTGGACGGCTTGATGCTGATGGCCAAGGCCAAATGGTTTGCTGCTGAACTCGGGGAAGACAACTTTGCCGACAACACCGGGTGGGTTCGCCGATATAAGCAGCGCTACAACATCGTTGCAAAACCATTTCTGGCGAAAGCAAAGCTGTCAGCAGCCAGGACATCCAGCAGTGGATTACGGAGTGGCCGGAAACCTCCGTGAAGTTTTTTCCTGCGGAGACCTTCAACGCCTGGCAAGACGTGAAGACGGACACAGTGATCAACCGCTTCCGCAAGGCAGGCTTCGAGATAGTCAGACTTGGGGAAACCAGTGAAGACTGCGACGACGAGTGCGTAGGCGACATGTTTTGCGAGTTGTCTTCCCTCTTCTCCGCAGGAGTTCTAAACGAAGTGTCTGCGGACGATTTCGTAGAAGCAGACTGCAGTGTCCAGGCCGTTGCAAGCCTCACTGATGAGGACATAGTGGCTGGTGTCGCAGGGACGCAGGATGCTCAGGCCGACAGCTCATGTGACGAGGAGGATCGTCCGGACGAGTTGCTGCCTACACGTGCATACTTCGCTGCTGAAGTGGCGGCAGCGTTCGGCGTCATATGCGGTTGTATTGGCCACATTAAGGGAACTAGGCTGTCACACCTGGGCAGTATTGATAAGATCTAGACTAGCATCTTTAACTTCATTTCAAAAACGAAGAAACACGCCAAGATAAACGATATTTTTCACGCAAATCAATCATTCTGTTGTGCCGAGTGTGCAGAATTAGTTGTCATTCTTGAATGCGCCTATTGTAGGTGATGGTCCGCTACAGGTAAGCTCTCGGGGACGGGGACTGTATTTTTTCGATATATCAGTGTTCAACTGTATTTGCAATTCACGAATAGGTCTATATTAGTCTGCATGTGGCTGTAAAAAGTGGGAGAAGCCTAAAAGCTGCGAAGGCAGACTTATGCATTGGCAAAAATCGTATGTATGCATTGAGAAACAATCAAGGCAATGTCATAGCCAATATGGATGGTATAGTCGAGATGGCGGAAGAGTTCTACAGAGAGCTGTACAGAAGTCAAAAGAACCAAGATGGCATTGTGAGAAAATATTGCCGCGACAGGTTGGCCATGTTCAAGTAGCCCGCCGCAATCATCATGGCAACAGCACCAGCAAGACCCGGCTGGCATGCGCCACGCGTTCCTGTGCTTGGCCTACGAGGAAGAGGAAGATAGTTTAATCTGTGCCACTCGGCTACTCGGACTCGACGACTATAGTCATTAGACTCGTAAGCACAAGTTCGCCCTAATAAAGACGCTTGTTTTTGTACGAGAAGGCTTTTTGACCCAGTCGAGACATCAGCAGTAATGCAGAATCTATGGAGTACTGCAGAATACTGCAGAATCTATGCAGAATACTGGAAGAAATCTACAAAGGATCCACAGCCACCATATATCTCCATAAAGAAAGTGAAAAAATCCCAATAATGAAGGGTCTAAGGCAGGGATACACGATCTCTCCAATGCTATTCACCGCGTGTTTACAGCAGGTATTCAGGACCCTAGACTGGGAAGAGTTAGGGATAAGAGTTAATGGAGAGTACCTTCGTAACCTGTGATTCGCTGATGACATTGCCTTGATGAGTAACTCAGGGGACGAATTATAGTTCATGATTACTGAACTGGACACTGAAAGCAGAAAAGTAGGTCTTAAAATTAATATGCACGAAACTAAAGTGTAACAATTTCGGCAGAAAGCAGCACTTTGTGATATGTGGAGAGGCGCTGGAAGTTGTTAAGGAATAGGTCTTCTTAGGACAGGTAATAACCGTGGAGCCGAACCAGGAGATTGAAGTAACTAGAATAAGAATGGGGTAGAGCGAGTTGGCAAGCACTTTCGAATCATGACTGGTAGATTGCCACTATCCTTTAAGAGGAATGTATACAACAGCTGCATTTTGCCAGCACTTACCTACGGAGCAAAAACCTGGAGGCTTACAAAGAGGGTTCAGCTTAAATTGAGGACGTCGCAGCGAGAAATGCAAAAAAAAAAAAAAAAAGACAGGTGTAACCTTAAGAGACAAGAAGAGAGCAGAGTGGGTCAGGGAACAAACCGGGGTTAAGGATATCATAGTTGAAATAAAAAAAAAAATGGACATAGGTTGGACACGTAGCACGTAGACAGGATAACTGGTGGTCATTAAGGGTAACTAACTGGATTCCCAGAAAAGGCAAATGCACAAAGGGGAGACAGAGTTAGGTGGGCTGATGAGATTAAAGAGTTTGCGGGTATAACGTGGCAACGGAAAGCACAAGACCGGATTGATTGGCGGATCATCGAAGAGGCCTTTGCCCTGCAGTGGGCGAAGTCAGGCTGATGATGATGGTGATGACCCATTGAAGCTGCGTTCACATAGCAAACATTTTTCAAAGCTTCTACTTTTAAAACAAACACTTCTGACACGGTCATGGCGCATATATATGGTGCATACAAAGTGAAAAAAAAAAGGTTAAAAACAACAGGCATTCCAAGGCATGCGATATGCGCACACTCGAGCATGCCCCGCTGCATCCCAAACCCTCAACTCAAATCCCAATACCACTCAAGATTGTTTAGACTTCCTTTGAACAACAAAAAAAGACGTTTGCAAGAGCCCTTATTTCAATTTGAAAGATATATGTATTGTGCTGGTTACTTGAGTCATAATAAATATTGCCATTTTTAAAATATCTGATACATGTATTGTGCTGGTTACTTAGGTCATAATAAATATTGCCATTTTTAAAATATCTGATACATACCATTAGAATTTGATTCGAAATTATTCGATCAAAATCACTATTTGCATCAAATTCACTTTGAATCTAAAATGCACAATTTGCACGAGCCTAGTAAAAGGGAGATGCCGTAATGATACTGAACATGGTCATGCACGAGCATCAACGGAAGCTTGTAGCTAACGTGAGATACAAGCTGCAACCAACAAAAGTGTCGACAGGCACACGCTCCGCTGGTCTAGATAAAGTGTGATTTTGTGAACCATGAACAATGCATACGAAAGGGACCTTTATTATGGCGCGACTGGTGGGGCCACCTTGTGATCAAGGCTCAGTGCACACCCCTATTTGGCCATTCCAAAAAGCGAAGCATTTTTGCCTAGTCAGTTTACATTGAAAGTAAAATGCAGAAGGGTATACAAGCTGTCTTTAATGCCTGCCGAAATAGCGAGCGCACCAGCGATCACACCTTTAGTCAAAGATCATATAACAACGCCCCCCCCTCCCCCCCCTCCTTACGGTCCTAGTTCCTTCCTGCTCCTTCAAGACTTGCAAAGCTTTCCTCTCTGCTTTAGTAACAATTGATGGCAGGCCTGACACGCGGGGTGATGTTATCGCATCCATCCTCCTTGCAAAAAAGATAGGTTGGCTCTGCTTATCTCTGTTTTAGCCATGTTTGTTGCCCCCACTTGTGTGTTTTTACCCCCGTGTAAAGCACGATGCCCGGGAGGATGTTATCGATTTGGATAGTACACAAAACTTCACGGTGATGGAAGCGTATGCCACATTTTTCGCGAGGAAACAAACTCTACGTACGTAGAATGCCCGCTTTGCTAGCCACCGTGTTGGTTTCAACAGCAACAGCACAAGAAAATTTTTCTGTTGTGAATTTGTGTTGTCCCAGCGATAGATCTTCGATGCCATCGTAGCGCCATCGGGTGCACGTTATTACTTTATCTGATACAAGCAAACCGAGTTGTTGTGCGTCAGTTTTTTTTTTTTTTTTTTATCGCCATGTCTACTGCGCGGTTTTATGTATCGCCTGAATTTCAAGCTCGCCCGTGTACTCAGATTTGGGTGCACGTTAAAGAACCCCAGGTGGTCAAAATTGCCGGAGCCCACCACTACGGCGTCTCTCATAATCAAATGGTGGTTTTGGGACGTTAAACCCCACAAATCAATCAAATCAATGAATTTCAAGCTCGCCAGCTTGGTAGAACAGCATTTAAATTCACAGGGTCTGTCAAAGGCATTGACAGGTGCTGCAATGCTAATGTGAACTTCATCATTGTTTGCTCAGTGGGGTAATTCAGAATACTACTTTTATTTAAATAGCAGTGCTCATGATCACTCTGCACGGTTTAAATGAGGTTGAATGTTTTGTACATAGTTTTTTTCCCCTAAATGCAAACCTTTTTTATACTGCGCCAAATTTGGATTTTAGTGCTCAAAAAATAACGTTCTGCTGCTCTGAAAATTGTTCCGAATTCTATTTGGGCTGTAGCGCCCCTGCATTGATTAAAAAAAGGGGGGGGGGGGGGGGTTGCAGCACGTGTAGGAGTCTCGGCTGTTTTTAGCACACCCGTCAAGGTGGGTCAAAGCTGCTGTAAAATTTTGCTCTAAAAAGCATGCACGATGTTTAATTAAATGCCCATTCGAAGCAGAGTTTGACATACCGCTATCTTGTGGCCTGTCATATAACAGGCAATGAGTAATCTTGCTGTATTGTGCAAAGTGTGGTTGCACGCCACACTTTTACCAGAGAAGGGTTATAAAAAGATGCAAAAACCAATGCACCAGATATTCAGGGCCCATATGATTCAATAATGCAATCACTAATCAGTAAGCATGGCTTGCGCAATGAGTTGTAAGTTAGTAAGTAAATGCAGTAAGTTGGTTGTTAGAGCACAGTTAGGAGTGACATGTTGTGATGCTTTCTTTGCAGAGGCTCTTGCAGCTGCTGGCACAGCGTCAGATGGCAGTGGCTCTGGAAGTGCAGATGCTGCAAAGTGTGGATCCAACTCTGCAACTGGGGAACCTCGAATCACAGCGGACTCTGGTGCTGCTGAAACTAAACCGTCAGAAAAATCTGCTGCCTCTAAGGTAACAGTCGTTGATCCGTTTTTTGTAGGTGTAAAGGGCGTTTTTCAAAAAGTGAATGGCAATATCAAAACAAATAGAGCAAAATCTGAGGACCACCCAGCGTGCAATGGAACGCAAAATTTATACAAATAAGATTAAAAGATCAGAGTATGGCAGAAATAGTAGGAGAACAGACAGGAGTTGCAGGAATTTTAGCTTAAATCAAGCGGAAAAATAAAACAACGGACCTGGGTCACGTAATGCATAGAACAGACAACTGGTTGACAGTAAGTGCTACAGAATGGTTGTAAAAGGATAGAAAACACAGTCGGGGAAGACAAGGAGTTAGACGGAAGGATGAAATTTAGAAGTTCGCAAGGATAAATTGAAATTGGTTCGCACAGAGTAGCGCATGGAGCAAGAATATTTGAGGAGGAAAAATTTCCAGGCCGCGGCAGCGCAAGGGCATTGCGATAGTGTCACGGAGGAATTTATTTTATACTGAAGCTAGGCAGGTGACGTTTTCAGCGTGTTGCAGTATTTTATATGCACTTGTATAGATGCAACACATAAATCGCGATATTGTTTTGTAGAGTAAAATCTCGATAATACGAATCACTACCTGTACATTATCGGCGTGAGTGGTTCATGCTGCACCGCTTCTTCCAAAGCGTATCGTTCCGCCGCCATGTCAGTGCACTGAGCAACAAATACTTCACACTTGGGGTAATTTGAAGGGAGCACGCAAAATATATTCTTATCATCCCTAATTCGTATGAGCCAAAAACAAGTCGAGGCTGATCATGAAGATGAACAATAACTTTATTGGGGTCAACTACTTCTTGCTGAAAGAAGTTCATAATGTTTTATTGAACTTTCCTGCTTTCACCGCGTCTCAATAAAGTGCCGCGGTTTTCTCACTCATGCTGCTGGTGCTATCAGGCAGATTCACACTTAGCATCAAAGGAAGTGAAAGCGGCAAAACTTAGTGAAAATTCACTCGCTTCGCCGCTTACGAGGCCGGAAAAACGCGCCACGATGTTGATACGAAAAAAATCAGTCTTAAGAGAATTCACACTCGAGAATTCAAGCGAGAATGCCAGAGCAGCCACAACACCACGTCTGCATATGTCGAAAATGTTCACATTCGTTGTGCCCCTCGTATACATGCCACCGCCTCCATCTTTGCCACTTCAGAATTTATTCCTGAGGATTAAAATTTCTACCATGTACTAGTTATGCATGCAAAGCACTGAAAAGAACAAAGTTTACACCTATACAAGCGTTGTTTCGGGAGGTACGTCAGAAGAAGTGACACGAGCAGACGCACTGGTAGCTGCGGCAGCAGATTCAGCCGGCAGTGCAAAAGAGAGACACGCTAGGGCATGCCGACTCGCTGCTGCCGCACCTTCTACTTTCGGTGTTCACAGCGATTGTAATTCAAACCAGGCTCTCGATGAATGCGTCTTTTTCAAGGTCATGAGCTTTGTTGTGCTGCATGGGTAGCTTGTGATTGCGCCGATGCGAGCCACCGCCAATGCCTCTCCCTTCATGTTGAATGTGTGACTGGTTGTTTAAACTGGTTTAAATAATGTGATTTGAGAGCTAGCGCAGCCGGTGTAGTTAATGCCGTTATAAAAAGGCAATCCGTTATCTCATGGTGGCAAAAGTGGTCTCGTACTGATATTTTCGCATTGCTCTTGTGGCATGGTTTTCCGGCCACTTTTCTAGCGGCAAAGTGAGGGAAATTTCAGTGAGTTTTGCCGCATTTTTTCTCTTTGAGGCCAAGTGTGAATGTGCTTTACTCCCAAAGACAAGCCGCGTTGCGCTGCTCGCGCGCAGCGGTCAATTGCGCATTCATATCATCCGTGGTTGCTGGGGAAATCGTTGGTATAACACCGAATCACGGCGTATTCTATATAATGTAGTCCATCCAAGGCAAACTTAAAATTCGCATCAGCCGTAGTCGTATCATCAAGATTCTACTGTACATTATCAAGTTTTTCAGATTTCTCTTTGTGACATCAATCGGTAGACGTAACCGATACTTTGGCTACAGTTACTAATTGGTACTGCCAGAATTTTAGGTCGTAGAGCGCTTGAAACGAGCTAATAATGGTCCTTGAGCAGACGATGTATGCCGCAGGACGTGTACACGCTCCTCACTTGCATGTTGTGCGCGCACATGTGTAGGTGGCCTTGGGAGAAAGGGAAAGTTGCCAACAAGTAGCCATGAATCTCTTCGTGATCTTGGCTTCCTCACATCGTGCCGGCGGCTTCGAAAATTTGAATACTGGTATTTCAGCCAGAAAAGTGTAGAGTATAACTTTAGATTGGCAGTTTGCACGATCTCACATCTAAGCAATGATTCAAAAAGGCAAGATAACCAACATGGTTGCAGTGGTAGCTTCAATTAAAAGGACACTAAAGAGAAACAATCACATGGTTTAGATTGACCAATTGCACTCTGAGAACTCTAATGGCCTTTGTTTCACTATCCTAAGTTCATTCTTAGCGGAAAAAGTCAAGCTTAATTGTTTCATTTTTAAATTTTGTATCGAAATCTCCGTGCATGACATCACAAATTTCAAAATTTTTGTATTTGTGCAACATTGGCTCGATGAAACTTCCTAGGAGATTGTATGCCAGGTCTACGGCACTTTGATGATGTGGGCTCAGGCTTCTTACACTCTAGGATGGCTCAATGAACCCATAAGAAGGCTTCAACCTTTACACAAGGTGGGGCTGATTGACATATTAGAAGCACAAAACAAATGAATACCCTCGAGCTTTGAGTTTTGCCGGTGGCGTCAATCATCACGGTGACGTTACACTCACTACACATTAGGCAGCACGACGACGTCGACGCGATATTGTAAAAATCTAGCGCAACCTTGACTCTCTCAAACACTTGCACAAATGCTCACACATCCACCTCAGTAACACACACAACACACAGCGCTCACTACCTACTGTTTGTTGCTCCTAAATGACCTTCATATATACGTGCAGATGAATGTGAAAAGGCGATATTGATTGGAGCTGCGCATGTGGAAAGCTTACAGCGCGTGAGGTATATAGCGGCGCCACACAATAAGGAACAAAAAAAAGGGTAAGCACAAAAAGCAGATAAACCAGCTTGAATCACTAAATCCTTGCCTCGAGAAAAGATATTTCCTGTTCCTGTTGATGCAACACCAAAGACTGCTCGCTGACTCAGGTATCCTTATTTTTTTCAATAAAATATTCTTCCAACAGCTTCGGGGTTTATACAATGTGAAGGCGCTTAGCGCTGTATGCGTTAAATCGAAGTTCACCGCGTTCTGTAAAAAAGTAGGACTACCTACGCTAGCTAGCACCCTGGTGTTGTAACTTCGTCTTTACCAACGGAGCAGACGACGTTCATCATCATCGCGACTGCTGCTCAGCTTGCTCGAGGGCACGAAGCCATCATTTCTTTTTCTATTCATTGTTCTATTAAAGAGCGTTCGTTTCGAACCTGCCCTCTCTCGTTCCTGCATGACAGTCAGGTAGCCGGCGGACCTCGAGGTCCATTACACCTAGCAAGCGGCAAAAGCATTAACTTGGAACGCCTTTTTTTTTTTTTCGCCAAAACCCACAAAGTGGACATACCTTTCAGGACCATCATCAGAACCACTGTTATGTGAAAATGGTTCATGGCAGGGCAACATTAGTAAATTTCTCTTAAGCAAACTAAAGACGCTTTGTGTACCAAAAAGATCCTTTCTGTACCAAAAATTCTAGTGATTTCGGTGATTTCTTGAGGACTAACCATCAGATTTGCTTTGCTTTTTTCAGTAGATGTTGAAGACTTGTTCTATTCTGTTCCTCACGATAAGCTTTTGACGTTGGTTCAAAAGTGCATAGAAGGTAACGGTGACGTTTATTTTATGAACAATGCTAGCGTGTTCATTAAAAACTTTTTAGCGCTTTTAGAATTTTATCTTAACGTCACCTTATTACTTTTGACGGCAGGCCCTATCTACAACAACAAGGAATCTGTGTAGAATCCTGTGTCGCCTCGGCTATCTATTTTTTTTAACTGATGTTGATAGGACGTTTGATAACAATGGGGGAAGGTTTTTAGATATGTTGACAATTTTTTAATTCCTGTAAACAAACGAGTGCCCAATACCCCCCCCCCCCCCCCCCCCCCCGATTACTTTTTAGATTTTCAAGAGGATGGTTGTACTTCAATGAGTGTGTGTGCCAAAGAGGTCTCATATGAAGTTGAGCGTTCTTATTGTGAGGATGTGCTTAGTGTTTGTAAAGATTATGGACATGGACTTAGTTTCACTATTGAGGTACCAACAGAGACCTGTTTACAGTTTTTTTTTATCTCAAGCTACTGTGGGACAGCGACCACTTTTGTTGGTATTACCATTCTGAGTGAAAAAGGGGCTGCTGCCGTATGATTCTGTGCACTCAAACATAGTTAAAAGAGGATTGCTTCACTTTGCCTGGAATCCTCGTTGACTAAGTAGTGTCCACACCACATGCGTACTAGTTTTTATGATCAGATCAGCCGATTGATGGCGGCGGGCTTCCCTTCGTTGGTCATAAATTCCGTCGCCAATTCACTACTTCAGAAGATGAAATGTGGAACACAAAAGGATGGAGCTGCTTGGGATTTATCGAGTTCCAAGCCTCAAGCAATGCCGTACTTGCACAAGCTCTCTCATAACCTTTAAGGGGGGATGCGGGTCTTAGAATGGTGAAAAATGGCCAAAAAGTTGATTTTGAGAAAATGCGATATTTGAAATTTTTAGACCTATAAGCACGTGTCCTCAAATTGTGAACGCTGAATTCGATCAGTAAATGGATTAAAATTGATTATGAAGTCGCCACGGGAGCCGCAAAACAACCTACGGCAGGTCAAATTCGTTCAAACTTCCCGCGTGCGCCGCCGGCGAGGCAGTCGGCCGATCGCTGCCATCTTGGGCTTGTTTTGAAGCTGATTCCTTTGTGCGCATTTTGCCACCCTTCAAAATGGCGTCGCT